TCCCTCTGTAAGAGTAATACAAGGGGGAGAGAAACGTTCAAGCTCAGAGCACCCCTGGACAAAGACAACATGTTAGGGACAACACAGTCTGAAGCTGCTTACTTATGTGCTTGCTTCGCCTTCAGCCATGAAGCTGAATCTGGTCTCATTAGCTGCTCAGACGTAAATAAATGACCAACAGTATTGTGGTTGCCACAAGCTCTGCTACAGCCTTGACATTAGTCATTGTTTGCCTCAATTAACGTTTTTCTGTGCTGAAATGTTATTCCTTTGACAACTTCTTCCCTCAAACCTCCTTCTTGTGCAGAAGACTGTTCACGCCCGTGAGCACAGATGAGTGTGTGGCCGCGGCCTTTGTCACCATGTGCCTTTCTTTTTACCCCAGGCAGGTTTAGACTCTGCTCTGATGGCAGAGCCAGCTTTCTCTGTGACCAAGACTTCCTCGACTGAATCATTATATCACTAAGCAAACTTGCCTTGTCACCAAAGCAGCTCAAGAGATTTATCAAATGTAAGACTTCTGAAGTGAGACATTTCTCAGGATTCCTTTAAATTTTGAAACCCAGTGACACGTTACGTACATTATACAAAATTTCTAAGGGAGGCCAGCAAGCAGAAAAGCAAAAGTGGACTAAGTCTCTGAATAGAACTTTAAGAAGTTCTATGCATCCCCAAAATTTCACACTGACCTCCCTAAATCAGTTTGAAAACCTGCAACCAGAAACGTGCAACAACTCTGGTAGTGGTTTCTGCATTTTGTACCTTGCAAAAGTCAAGATTTTGTGAAGCTTTGCATGTTTTAATGTTTGTTTGTATGTAATAGACCAACACAAAATCATAAAATGGAAGGAAAAGAATGCATGAATTTCAGAACCTTTTAAAAGTAAATGGACAATGGGGAATGTTAAGTACAATGCAAAGTATTAGTCTTTTTTTTTTTACAAGATTTTACAATAAATAGAACCATATGCATTGGGATGTTGTTTTAAAACATTATTTTGCTATATCTACTCGTCTGCTGTAGATATATGCATGCCACACATGCAACATGACGCTGCTTTGTTTTAGCAAATCATAGTAAAATACAATAAATTGCTTGTCTCAACATGACAAAAGTTCAAGGGATACAAATAGTTTTCAAACCAGAATTTGAAACAAATCTGTGATCTGATTGGATAATTCCAACCTGGAGTAATTCTTATATCATGTCTGTAAATTACACACTTATGGTTCTAATCGGTATCCTGGGGATTGTTACTCCATTTCTCTCACTCCTGGCTGTCTGCAGCTTTGATTTTCATTTTAATTACACCGCCACACTGTGGTGCTTTTTATAGATAAGTATATCAGTGCATTTTAAAATGACCTTGTTGTAATCTTCACAACAGCCTCAGCTGCAGCTTAAGAATGGCTGTTAATGAGCAGATATCCTCCTCCTCTTGCCCTTCGCTCTGCTTTCCACCGCTCCGACTGCTTGCACTTGAACTGCTTGCTCTGGTCATGTGCAGGCACTATTCTCTGAATCCCAAATCCTGTCTCTCTAATCCACACAACAGAGGGGAAAACAGCATATTAATTTCATCTTGTTTCTAGTCCTGGAGCCAATTTGAGCTGCTTGGGACAGCTGCTGCTCAGATGGCCCGAGCTTACATCCCGCGGGATTTACGTGGGACTATCTCTGAGAAATCCCGTTTAATTTGACACCCGAGAGCTGTACTAAGATTTAGCTGGAGCTGTTGTGATTTATGGTAATGCAACTGCAAATCTCCTGTGCCGCTATGAATTGCAGTAGGTCAAATTCTTTTAAAAATTATGGAACTGATGTTCAAATATGTTGGTTCCCACATGAATGAAATGATTAGCGTTGTCAGGATCCCCGTTGGCTGAAATAATACATAAATTTTGCTGATTTGAATAAAGAATCAGGCGATTAGGTCATTTGAGGTCACTGTCCTGACGTACCTTCAGTACTTAAACAGATAAACAACACAGAGCCTCAACTCAAATAATGGATTGAATCAAGGCTGCAAGGGATTCATCTTAGCAGTTTAAAAATAGGTTAGTTATCCAGCAGACTATTAAAGTAATCGTGCTGAGATGGGTGCCAAGCAGCAGATTTAAAACTTAAACAAAGCTCCAACAAAGCCATTTTACCGCGGCCTCCTCTGCCTTTTCATTATCCAGAGTAGACTTAAGCCCGGCCTCTCAGAGCCTAACCCTCTGGGACTATTACAGCTCTGGCCGGGCTTTTAACAAGCACCATTGGAGGATTCACCCTGCCAGCTACTAACCAATAGCATGCAATAATTTCCCACAGCCCTACTCCTGTTCTGAATTTATGGCTGGTTGGTTTTAGTTTTGCACACACTGGGCTGTGAATGTTTGAAATGCGTGACACAACAACACATGACTGCAGAGGTTAACATGTGCAGGCCTTTGGGTTCTTGGTCTTTTTTTGTTTCTTTTTTTTTTTGCCTTAACCCAATACAGCATCAAAGTCAATTTGACACAGAAAAATTCCCAGTTTCCAACAAACTCTCCCTACAGCTTATAATACAGAGCTGGTGCAGAAAGGCAGGGATGCTCACATTTAAATTCAGAAATGTATTTATTTTTTTAATCAGTTTTACTTTTGCTGGCATGAGTATCTAAAGTATTCATACGCCATCAAATGTATCCAAATGTTGTAATACTGTAGCACACATTTGTGAAGTGGTTTTCATTTCATTTTTTTTTCTTTTCTTCACAAATAGCATTCACTACACCTTAATCAATTAAAGCAATTTGTCAACCAATTGCTTTAATTAATGATGTTGGGTGGTCTTTTAAGTATATCTCTCTCAATTTGTCAGATGAAGAGAAGAAGATTTTGACAGATTTTTCTTTGCAATACAGGTCACGTTTAGTGAGATTCAATGGAAAGACTAGCTCTGTTACATCTAATTGTAATGCAAATTTTGAACAATTTATTAAAATATCACAAAACAGACAAAAATAGAACATGCTAATTAGTTCCCTTCCCAGATGAGTCATCACCTGCTTTATGTTTTTTTTCTCTTCTTTCCATGTCCTGATTTGACGCAAATTGACCAGGCTTTGCAAAGCGTGATGTCGTTGGATGTTGACATTATGCATGCAATAACAGCGAAGTAGAGGTTGCAAACTAGCACATAAACCACATGTCTCAGAAAAATGGAGCAAGGTTCTCAGAAATGTGTTGCTGTCGGGCAAGTTGTAATTATTGTGTCATGTCAACTGATTTTTGCCAACATTACATGAAAAATGCTATTCTAATTATCCCTATGGTGAAAACAGCTGATCAGTCATGTGAGGGAAGTGTTTGTTACAGCCGAACTAAATTTCTAATTCTCTTCTGATTAACGTACATTCCTAAACATCTTCCTGCCTCTCCTCTTTAGAGACCAGATTTATGTAATACATGATTAATAGCTGTCCAGTCAGCAAATTCTCTCACCTAAGCTACAAGTCTCTGCAACTCCTCCAATATTATCATGGGCTTGTTGGCTACTTCTTTGATTAATGTCCTGCTTTACAGTCTGTTGGTTTAGATGGATGGCTCCATTTCACTTGGTTAGCAGTTGTGCCATCGTCTTTTTTTATTCAAATAATGGATTGAGCAAGGCTCCATGAGGCGTTTAAAGCGTATTGTTTTATAGTTTAACACTGCTTTGAGATTCTCCAGAACTTTATATCTGATCTGCTTGAGGTTGATTGTTCAGAAATTGTCTAAGACAAAAATTTAAGGTCTGTGCAGAACAGCTGTATTTATACTGGTATTAAATTACGCAGATGGACTAATAATTCTGAAGTCATCTGGTTTTGAGATATGCATTTTTCATATTTCTGTTTTTTTCTGCAGTACTATCACATGTATTCTGACATGCACAACTGCAGGGTTGGAGCTTTTTGCTATTATATTTTGGCAGCAACTGCAAAATGCAAGACAGTAATTGACCTCAGTACAGTAAATGTTTTAAGTTAAAGCTGTACATTATGTCTTTTAATTAGATTTCTGTTGTAATGCAAGATAAAAACTGTACTTTGGGATCCCTTTAATCAGCAAACTGTTCCAATGATCTTCCAGTTCATCCAGCAGGGGAGACTCAAACAGAGGTGACAGGGAAGCAGCGACGCTCACGCCAGATGCTGTAAAAACCTTTCACTTTCTGAAGCGCATGTTTGCTTTCTCTGACATGTACATCGCTGGAAGAGCTAAGCAGGTGCTTCGCACAGCTTCTGTAAACACAGAAGGAGCAGCACGGAAGCTGTCAGCTGCTCTTGCTTGTGAGGTAACATGAAACAGCCCATCTGGCTTGCTGTCTTTCCCTGGATTTCACCACAGTTCCTGCGACTTACCCAAAACATGACAAGGCCCATAGTAAAAGTCTGATCTCCAAGTCTTATCTGGGTCAGCTGGCTTGTGCTAAACAGTGTCATCTTAAAATGCTGATAAATGTATCAGCTTGTAGAGACAAAATAGAGATAAAATAAACTTTTACTGCTTCATGTGTTCTGTCTTGAAGTGACTGAACATTTGGTTGTTAATTCTTTTCTACGGGTAGGTCTCTCTGTGTTTCAGCCTCTGACATTATAAACAATGCCTAAAACATTGTTTTCCAGTTATAGCTGCACTGTCAAAATGATTCAGTTTAATTCGCGTGTCTCCGGTATTTAACTGGACATGCAGTCATACTGGCCATTTCTGCAGTTTGAAATCAAGACACTACAAAGAGAACCTAGTTAGATTATCTGTCCAATAGAAACAGGAAACATGAGAAATGTGTAATCACTAATCCATTGATGATTAAATTACTACAATAATTCAACAGAATAAAAATTAAGTTAGAGATTTTTTTATTCATTAATAATAAATAAATTCACCTAAAATAAACGCTTTCTCTGTTTTGCTCAAAATGCCGAACAGGTTGTTGTTAGGTAGCCAAAGAGTGAGTAAGTTAGTTGATGCTACTCACCTTTCTTACGTTGAGCAGCTAAAGTCTTTCCTCTGCCTGCATCTCCCAGAATGCTGTGTGGTGCTGGATTGGAGTTCAGTGAATACTCTGTAAAATTAATATTGATTCAGGCATATTATCACATCATCTGCACTTTACCATAATTGCACCTGCTGCTTCTTTTTTGGTGTGGTTGAGTGCCTTTAGTTAATTTTAGTTGTATATTATTATTATTATTATTATTATTATTATTATTATTATTATTATTATTATTATTATTATTATTGTGTGTTTATTTTATATTGTATATATTTGACTTTTTGCACAGGAGTTGCAATAGAAATTTCGTTGAACCCTGTTCAATGACAATAAATGCTATCTATTCTATTCTATTATCTATTGATACTGATCAAGTGTTTATCACATATTATTATTGATATTTTGTCCAGCCTATTTTCTGTAACAGACATAAATGAACTGTTTTCTGTAAATACCACTCTGGCATTGCCTTTCTACATTGTAGCATCCTCAATTGTATCACCAGCTAAGCCAGTCTTATACACTTTTAAATATGATATACATTTCAAACAATTCCCTTATAACACAATATCTCATGCTTCTCTCTGCAAACATTATCTGTTTTAGCAGGGCTGGATTTGAGAATAACTCAGCTAATAATCATTTGGCCATTTACAGAGCACTGAACTTTCAGTTTGAGATGGTTAGGTAATTATTATTGGAAAAGAAAAGATTGTGATGTGATGGCAAATAAAGAACATCAGCGTTATCAGGGATTCTGCAAAGACATGATTAAACACAGCACAGATACGCTGTAGCATAAGCAACTGATGTGGGTTTAAATTAATTGAACCAGTGAATATAAGAACTTAAGGAAAAGTTTTAATTGGACCTCTTGTTAAATTAAGAAACCAGCATGTTTTTTTTTTTGTTTGTTTTTTTTGCCTCTGCATAGTTGCCACGCAACCAGTCAAGGCTAGGGCTCCAAAAACTGAGACAGAAAAACTGCGAGCAATTTCTTTCCTGAATTAAAAAAAAAGAAAAAAACAATGTACCAAAAACTAGTTCCTGTTGTATGTTTGTCCAGATCTGTGTTGTGCAGTAGAGAAAGTTTGTTGCAGCAGACATCCAGTTAATTACATCAACCAAGCGAACTCCATCACCCTTACATCACCCTAATGAACTGTTTTAAACTATTGACTGTTTGTGTCTGCTAAGGCAATGTTAAATCTCACACAAACATGTTTCCATTGTTGTTTTAAATACTTAAGTCAGCTGTAAAAAGAAAAGTGTACATGGGAGTATCTATTAGTTTCTGCCACTATAAGGACATATCAATGGTGTGCAGCCAGGTTCATAACTGGTTGGATGTATAATTATGCAAAACACAAAACAGAAAGTTATTTTTCCAATTTTGACCTTGATTGAAACATTTAGCTGTATTGAACCGTTCAATTCCATACAACATCAAAAAATGAATGGAGTATTTATTTATTTTTGCTTAATCTCCATTTTTTTTATTAGATTTTTTTTTTTTTACAATTTTTTTACAATTCAACCATTAATCATCTTTCATGTGTCCACACAATATTTCCTTAATTGTTGTTTTAATTTTTCTCCTCTAACCCTATATTTGTCACATTGAATTATTGTTCTTCTGTCTCCATGTCCATGCCACACTGTGTGAAATCTACTGATAGACAAATTTATAAAGTTGTCAAAATTCTTTTGAATAAATTTTACTTTAATTATCCTTGTGCTCCCCATAAATAAGATTTTGTTTGCTTACTTGAGGCAGAAGAGAATAACACTTATTTTATCCACAGGAAGCACAGATGACATAACTTCCCAAGTGCAACAAGCTATTAGTATATTCTCACCAGACAGTGGGGATAGCGGATGGCCCATCTTAAGTGTTATTACTGAAAGCATGCACTTTGTACTTGTGGAAGCCTGGAAGAAGACAGACACATTTTCACCGGATGTCACAGCATTATATTTTACTCCCATTTGGGAAATCTGGCAAACAAACAGGAATTTAAAAAATGACTCACTTAAAGCACTGCAGCTCATTTTTGCAGTAAGTAATTGTAGTGGACTGTTGTGTAAAATGTGCAGGACATCAGGGTAAAGGAGAGTGGATGGCTGGGAAAAACAATAAGAAGAAAGAGGTGATTACTGCTGGAGACTGTGGGAGCCAATAGCCAGAAGCTGTATATTCACCCTTAGAACAAGGAGCGAGAACAGATCGATAATTCTCTCGCCTCTCCCTCTGCTCATCACTGCAGGCTGCAGGGGAAGTGCACAGTTACAAGAAACATTTATTACAGGCCTGTTTGGTGGCTCTGTGGGACACAGACCAGCAGCTCTTGTGCTTCTGCTTGTTAGCAGGCCTGGCGGCAGAATTAACCAGAGCCATACTTCAGCGTCAGGCTTCATAACGTGACCTCTCAGAGGGCCAACAATGAAGGTTTGACAAAGCAGCTGCTATTACACTGGCCCTGGGTAGATTACGATTGTGCCAAAGTTCATTTAGTGTGAGTTTAGAGTGTGTGTTTCTGTTTCTTAACTGTAAATATGTTTTTTTTTGTCCTTCATTTTTGGCTTAGACAAAGAATAAACGTAATCAGAACTGATTTCACTCCGTCTACAAAGCCTCCATGTTGCAAAAGTTTAATCACAGCGTCTGCGCTCATGTGTTTCATTCTTCTAATTTTTGAAAAATCTACCTGATTTCCTAACTTTGCTCAACTTTTATTGAGTTTGGCATTAAATTAATGCAGTGCACTGTAAGGTCAAACACAATTTCATGGTTTTTGATCGCAAAGATCATTATTGCTGATATGATTGATTTTTGCAGATCGTTCATGCATATTTTATTTTCAAGGAGGGAGAGTCTGGTGCTTCTAGCACGGATGTATCACGCTTACTCACCATGTAACGGTGCAGTTTAGTGGGAACTAGAGTGCATTAAAAAAATCTACAAAGTCTCAGACATCTTCCAGTGAGCATTAGGTCTGGACCTAGGTTTGGAACACAATCAAGGCAGTGTGCTGTGCAGTATTGAGGCATGATTGAATGGAAGTCCTTTTCTGCTCAGATTGCTGGAGCACACAATAAACTGAGCTGTAAAGATGTCTCAGACAAGACGTAGTAGATTTTCCCATGCGTTCCCTTTCTGCAGTAATAGTAACAGGTGAATTTGGTGCACTGTGGTCAGTTTTCCTCTTGAGAATTTTTGTGACGTTAATGTATTTAAGAGTGAAAAAAATATCTGTTCATTTGTCTTAATTTTTTGTTTTTGTTGATACAGTCACACTGAGTTAATTGTGACTACTGTTTGCTTGTCTCTTACCTTTATGTAACTGTCATGCAGGGGTGTTTTTGTCTCTTGGTATTTAAAGCAACTCCAGTCAATATTTCTGCATACTAATCTGAATGATTATGGTTAATGTGAATGAGCCACTGGTAGTAATGAAGCCGCAGAGAATCATTACCCCTCTCTGCAGCTCCCTTCAGCTCAAACTCACTGCTCATAATTTTGTGTTGTTGTTTTCCTCTGCAGCACGCAGCTGTTTACAGTAGTAAAAAAAAAAAATACTCCGAGCCTGCTTTGCATTACATACACGGTATCAAACACACAGCTAGCGACCAGCTGGTCTCCATGGTGGAGCGTTTAGTGGGTATACATTCCCTTCAGGAATTATTTCACATTAAATAGACATAAAAAGAGGGAGATTGTTGCACTTAAATCTGTTAGTTGGTCGGAAGCTCCTCTATATGCACAAAAAGCCTATTGCAAAAGAGATAAAAAAAAAAAAAAAAGATAGCAACTTAATTGCCAGTCATTTGTCAGAGTCATTGTTACAGGATTATTTTTGTTTTCCCAAAAGGTCAGGAAATAGAAGAACGCAGAATTATTTTCAGTACATCCTACAAACCGGAAAGCGCAGTTCATTAGCATAAGGGGTTCATTTAGTGTATCTAAACTTTGCATCCAGAGTAACCAGATTTTTATGCTAGAGCAGGAACCAGATTTTAGTGCAGTTGTTATTGCCTCTCTGTCTCAGCTGACAGCTTTCCACTGATGTCCTGCTTGTCTTTGTAGATTAAAGTCATCAAAAAGCAACTGAATTTAGCATTTTGGACCTTGTTAAAACGTTGCCTAAATGCAGTATAGAACAGGCAGTGGATGTCGCATCCTTTACTGTAGAAGTTTCTTTTATCCTTCTGATAAGTGTGTGGATAATTTTCTTCTCCACTTTTGCATATTCCTTTATCTCTTTTGATAATGGCTGAATGATACAAAAAGCAAAGTAAATGACACAAAGATGTACAAATGACATTTATACATGGGAGATAGGACTACATTATTTTTACTTACTACACATATAGATATATTCTGTTTCATTTGCAAACATCATACATCAAATTGGATATAATAACTGTCACAGAAAAACTCCAGCCTCTATTTTGATCGTAAATTCCCAGTGTGTCCCCATCACTTTGGAATTATTGCATCATTTAATACCTGAAAGAACCGTAAAATCTCAGCCATTTTAGCCACAAATGCAATTAATGTCGTTTTCGGAGCACAGGTGGGAATACACACATGATTCTGCTTGTCAGAGCAACTCTTGTGATTCTATGAATCCACAAACCTCCATGGTTACATGCTGTATTTGCTAACATTACCTGCAACCACCCTGTAATTATGCATTAGCTCGCTGGCCTCCGTCTCACACGTAGACATAGATGCACTGAACCTTTGATGGAATGACATGAACTGTGAACGTTATTCCTTTTTCATCTTTGCCCCTGCGATGCTCAACACTTGTCAGAGTTTCATTTGTGCGGGAGATGGGTGGGTGAGCAGCTTAACACATCTACGTGTGTGTCAGTGTGTGTTGGTGTGTCATTGTGTAGGTGTGTGTCAGTTTGTCAGCAGTGGCGCCTACAGGATGCGAACATGTTGGGCTGCAGTCAGCCTGGGCGGATGAATTGCGGCAGGCTGTGCCGTCGTAAAGCGCTGGTGTATTTGTCAGCACTCTGCTGTGAGCGACCAGGAGCACTGACTCAGATAAGTGGCTGCTCTCACTCTTTAGATTGTATGGGAGGTCAGAGAGCTCCAAGAAGTGGCAAAGCAACACGCTGGAATGAAAATGTGCGCAGTTAACATTCCACGTTCAGCTCCCAGGCAAGATTTCATGCTTGCTGTGGGAGAGGGCTCTCACCATTGACTGATTGGTGAGTCATTCCACTCAGATACAGACAGCATCTGTTAGGCTGAATTTAATCCAGCATGAATTTCTGCTGCGTGAAATGTAAGTTTTCATAACCTTGGTGTAATTTACCATCTGCTCAAAGTCAGCTTTGACAATGTGCCAGCCGGTTGTAGAGACTCACCTTAAAGTATCAGTTTTTCACTCACGTTTGTAGTTCTGGTCATTTTGATAAAGTGTTGCCAACTTCTCTACCTTGAGCATCATTATGCTTAGGTAAAAGAAATAAAATAATTTGGCAACCTACTGGTAATTACTGGTAATCCTTGTTAAGTATATGTGAAACAATACTTGTATGATCTAATTTTGAAAAGTTAGTTTCAGTTTTCTCTCTAACAGTGAGCTTTACCCTCCTACTCACTGTGCATGGTGCCAAGACCAACACGGGTCTCCATCAAGCTTTGTTTATCACATTTCCAGTTGGTTTAAATGTTTCAATCAAGTCTCTCATTGTAAATATGGAGTCATTTGGGCAAGTAGCTAATTATGTAGCAATTTTATAGCTTATTCAAATCAATATACATCTTGTCCTATACAGTTTGAAAGGAATGCTCTCTTGTTTTTCTTACTTTGAAGAATCTATTAATAAAATATCTACCTTTGTGTCACATGTTTGTGTCTGAGGGGAAAGGGAAGTCATATAAAGATCCTAGATACTCATGTCAAGTTAAATCCATAAGAAATGTCACTAATTAGACCAGAAAGAGTGAAAAGTTTCTGTAGGATGGAAATTGAAGGCATGATGGCTGCCAGGCCTCTCCAAAAGCCCTCCATCATTTCCTGAAGCTTCCTATATATTTTGTGTCTCTTGTTACTGAAAATAGCTGTAAATCTTCCTTCTTCCACAGAAACAAATACTCAGACTAGTGTTGCTGTCTGTATGACCTGATAATGCTCATCTGTGTTGTGTTCAATGATTGAAAACATATTGACTTTTTTAGTGATCGTATGGCGCAATTATGAAGCAGAGCAAATCACATGTGAAAATTATATGATTCAAGTTCTGGCCTATTTGTCAGTGTCTCTCCAATTTTAGGATTTTTACCTCCTTTTTTAACCATAGATGCCACTAAAAATATGAGGGTAATGTGTGGTGACAGAAAATAATTCAGGATTTAGATAAATTACTCTATTCAGCCAGAAAACAGTGCATACTTTTCCCAGTAATTAAAGCAGAATATTTTTTTTATTTTGTATCTAAGTTCTCCTGTTTTATTCTCTTGGTATTAAAGGAAATAACCAAAATATTGTAAATGCCGCAGTAAGTGGTTTTAGGAGGCTGCCAAAGACACAAAATAAGATTTGTGGAAATGAGGGTCCAATTCCCTGGAACAAATAGCAACTCTTAAATATTAATCTCAGTTACATGTATGAGTCACAAAAAAGTTCTGTGCATTGTCAGTGTTATACCTCAATGCTATACATCACCTTGATGTTTAATAAAGAGATTCTGGTTGTCTAGTTGGACCAATTTATATCATAAACAGAGAAAGCTGTGCGCTAGCTGAGAATAATAACTCCTGTTTTCTCTCTTATGTGATTAGTGGCAGAATAAAGCAGATTGTGACTGAAAGCAAAGAAATTTAAGCATGCATCACTCGGGTGACAAGAGAGAAATGGTGCATCGGAATAGTTTAAACATTTATTACAACTATATTTAACATACATTTGTGATTTGTATGTAATATGAGATCTTTGTGAGGTCTAATTTTTCCAGAAGAACCTTTTTCTTTATTAACAAAATGAATGTGCAGTACAGGCAAAGGTCTTGATAAAATTATTGGAAAAAGATATGCTGATTTTTTATAGTAAAAACCCCCCATAAATCTTTAATTCTAGATATTCAAATGAAATTCTGAGGCTGTAAGGATAAAATGAGCTTCATGAGGAAATTGCATATTATCCTGCTTATTATGAAACTGTAGTTTTAGTTCTTTTGTGGTATTTCAGATACATGTTTTAATCCCTAATATTTCTGATATTTTTTTACAATTTAGGTTTTTTTTTTGTTGTTGTTGAATAGACCTTACTAAGGGACTTGGAAGGTGTAAGTCTCTTTTTTGGCCTCCAGAACTGGGGGCAATAATACATCTCTTTTTTATTTAAAGTTCATGAAAAGCTTAACATTGAACAACTCTTGATTTTAGCATTAGCTCTTGAAGTTCAATAAATTTAACAGAATAGCCAAAGACAGAGGAAATCCATATAAGCTGTATTGCATATTAATATAGATTTTCTAATTGTTAGTCTTTTTGGCTGAAGTATAAATGTTTTTTCTTAAACTATTTTTTTATGTAACTTCTGCTATTGCCCCACCTGCTGGTTAGTTTTATTAAAACAACTGACTGCACTATTTGCTGAAACTTGATTAAGAGTAAATGGGCTTTGTAAGCTGTAAAAAGCCCTGTGCTGCAGAGATTATAAATTACTTCCTTAGTTTTTTACCCTATTTAATTTTCTAAAAATTAAAAACTTCTAATTGGATTCTCAATCATTTAAGCTTTAGGAGTAAAATTTTTTCTCCAGTTCAAAGATTGTAAATAAGTGACTCTTCAATTGTTGTTCATGCATAATTAATTAGAAAAAGAACAGATGCTTTGCTAATATAGCTCAGTACAAGTGTAATACTAAGCAATATTTTCAGTCCATTTAATAATTTCTTTTGCTTTCCATTTCTCCTAATTGCAGGTGAAGCCCATCATTGGACCCAGACTGATTGGAGACATGTTCTGAGCTCGACATCTTGGCCACCATGAAAGGGTTAGGAGCCAGCCGCAGTCGCCACCTGTCTGACTCGTGTGAACCAGCGGGGTGTGCTCAGAAGCCTCTGTGCCCCCTGACATCTGATCCTCACAGCTCCTTTCTGTTGAGTCCTACAATAAACCACTATGGCACTTTGGACCCACATCTCCATCACTACACTCCCACCAGCCCCACTTCTTTGACCCCTGACTGTCTGCTGCCTTTCAGCCAGGTTCCCAATAGCAGCACCTTCCCTCGTTTGCATTTTACCCCCCACGCTGACCAGCTCGACTGCCCCCAGAGCTGTATCCCTGGCGGGGGAGTTGGGCAGGGTGGCAGGGCCGCTGCTCTGTCCACCTCGTTGTCAATGGGTATGGGACTGGGTCTGGGTTTGACTGGTGCTCCCATGATCACCAGCGGATCTGCCACTATATCCTCTGCAGCAGCAGCTAAGATGAACCGTTTGCCCTCAAGTCTTTTGGATCAGCTTGAGAGGCACCTGCCCCTGCAGCGAGATGGTTTCAGCACTCTACAGTTTCACAGAGGACGTATGTCTAAGCAGCGCAGCGAGAGCCCCGGTCGGATCCGCCACATCATGCACTCTGTGCAAAAATTGTTCGCCAAATCCCAGTCTTTAGAGAACTCGGGGATGAAAGGCAGCCTAAATTCAACAGGAGGTGGTGAGGAAGGTGGCAGACCAAGCCGCAGGAGTAAGAGTAAAGACAGGGCTAAGACTGAGGGATCAAAACAGAGACCAAGACCTAGTACATTAGGCCTTTGGGGCTCAGATGACGCTCTGGACACTGACACTACCAAAGCTGGCACTATTGCTGTAGGTTACCGCAACCCACTGAGTATGATGACTCTTGGCAGAGCGGTGTCAGATAGCCAGACTGCTCTCAGACATATTCCACAGGGCTATAACACAATTTCTGCACATTCTCTTAAAACCTCAAAAAGCAGCAGCGACCTCAAGTTCCTGGCATGCCCTGCGATGCAGGTCGGAGCCAAGGAAGAGGAGCCAAGACACAGGGGGAGCAAGGATGACATGGCGGTGAAAAGGGGCACCTGGTCCACGCTCACTCTGAACCAGGCCAGGCAAGTGTTGCAGAAAGGCTCCGCTACTGTCAACAGGACTCTACTTAAGACAAAGTCATGTCACCAGGACCTGGCACAACAGTTTCTACAGGTAGGAGTTTTCCAACTTACTGAGAAATTATACACCTTACTCCCTAAATCTTTCCATGTTTAGTCCAGTTACAGCTACAAACCTCAATTCTCTAGTAAGTTCATTGTTCATAATGTTTTGTTGAAATTTTTGAAACAATTTGCAGATTTCAGCTACATATCCTTTATAAGTAACATTTATTCACTTGCAGAAAATTGGAGATGAATGTTGCTAACACTATTAAGAAAAAAAAGAGTGAAGTTTACACTTAGCTAAAATGAGGAAAACACAAAAGTATTTGTTATACAGGTTCCTCTGGAGGACTGGACTGGAAATTTGGGTCATGAAAGAACCAAGGGAACGGAGATCCCATGTAGAAGGATGCGCAGCGGCAGCTATGTTAAAGCAATGGGAGACCCAGAAGACAGCGAGGAATCTGAGGGAAGCCCCAAACCTTCTCCGAAATCAGCAGCACGTCGCCAGAGCTACCTGAAGGCCACCCAGTCATCCCTGAGTGAACAGCAGCCACCACCACCACCTCGCAAGTGAGCAACTTTAAATAAGTCACACTGAAATTCTGGCTTTGGCTACCATGCTTATCATTTTCCTTTTGTCTATGTTTTTTCTTTAAACATAATTTACCAGAAAATTATTTTAACATTGTTTCCTCAAAGGTAAACAGCAGGTGGCAGCATCCCTTCACAAACAACCATCCCATTGTACAACCACTGTGTTTATGAAAACGAGTTACAGACGCTGTGCATAAAGGTGGAGCTGCGATTTAATTAGAGCATATGGGAACAGACATATAGCATCGTTCTGTAATTGGTGCAAAAAGCAACAGGAGGTGAATTTTTGCCGTGTGCTCTACTCCTACACCCACATGGACAGGTCTCGCTGCTACGCTCTCATGCGGGAGGATTTTCTGTGGTCTTCTTTGCAGAGTGCATGCTCTATGCAGCATCTGAGGTCAGTGTGATCCACAGGCAGGCAGTGTGGCGTTCCTTTCACCTTCACCTGCCCTCCCTCTACTACCCACCACCTGTTTCTTGCCCTCACTTGCCTAATATTTTGTCCTTAGTGCCTCAGTAGAGGGCCAAAAGTGTCACAGTGTAATAAATAAATATTGAAACGTAATCATGTAAAACAAGCATCTATTTATATAAAAAGACATACAAACAACCTTTTATGAGACTTTTTTGACAGATTTTCTTATGTTTAACCTTTTTAATCGTGTCAGGTTGCATGATACGACCATCCAGTATAAACTGATTACCTAAATGTTTGTTAAATAACTATTTTTAAAAAAGAAATATTATATAAGATGAACATAAATTGAAAAAACTATTACTTAAATGTATAATAATCTAAGTATGAATAAAAAAACGCATTCAAACCAAAACTATCTTCATTACTTTGCGATTAATTTATTATTTTAACTGTAAAAAAAAACAAAAACATTTTCAAATATATATTTATAATTTGAAACTAATTTTAAAATATAAATAACATTCATTTGAAAATATAAATAGAAAATTTACGTTTAAATAATTCTTATGCATTTCATTTATCTATTTTGTTCAGGTGTTTTTTGAGTGCTGTCTATGTTTTGTAAATGTCTTTATTTTTTGTTTTATTGTGGCATTTTTGGCCCTTGATGCCCCAGTACCATCTTTCACCTTGCAGGTACCCTGAGCCACATGTTTGCACTTGACTTTTAAACTTGCTTCCTCAAGATCTTGATGTAAAAACATGGAAATTAGCTTCATGCAAATCCCTTCAGCATGTGCTGTTGCTTACTGCACACATTGCCGCTAACAGCACCAACCAGCCTTGTAAGCCAGAACAGAGGAAATTGATTTCCAAGCCAATGAAAAAGACTATTTAACAAACCTTTTTTTTTTGACAGATTTGCTAATAAATTGCTGTTTCCTCTGTGCTGCTTTTTACATGCTAAAACATATCACCATCCACACATTTCAGCAGTATTTAACCTTTCAACACCACAGGGAATTTTTTTAAGACTGATTTAAAATATCAATTAAACACAACCTACATTTATTCCACTCTCAGACTCACTAGAGGCTAATAATCAAATTCCCAACCCACAGCTCCCTGCCGTCCCTCAAAGAGCTGCCTACTAATCGGAGCCTTGATAACTTGGACTGCCTGGTTAGCCCTGTGGAGGCTCCTCCTCGCTACAGGAACAGTGACTTCAGCCAATGCTCCGGCACACTGGGCAGAGGCATGGGCACTCAGGTAGGTCTTCAATCTGAATAAATGTGTTGCACACTCTTTTATTTGGGATTATTATTTCTTTCCTTACTGCCTACTCAACAGGTAAGATGTCTGTGTGTAATTATTTTAACATTGCCAAATTTACTTTAGTTAAAATGAGTGCTGACATATGCAGTCTCTTGCAAAAATATTCAGGCCCATAGAATGTGGTGGTATCAGTATCTGATACTAATATTGTTGTTGGCAGACATCCAATTTGTACCTGTATTCTGTATATTGCATATATTATTCTTTCGACACCATGAAAAACTGACATCACTGAAAATTGCATTTCTGTTTCAGTTAAATATCCCACCGTCCTTCATCACCCTCTGTCCCAAAACACATACTCAAACAGCAAAAAAATTAAAATAAATGACTTCTTAATATCAGACAAATACCAATTGTTTAATATATCAATATTAATGTTAATGCCGACATATTGTGCGTACCTAGTGGTAGAAAACTAACAATGAACATCTCTCTGAAAACACTATCCCATTAGACATGGTGTTGACACCAATCTGTGGAGTGTATTTTTTTTTTTTCTTCCTCAGAAGAGACCTGGCAGATTGGTTGGAGATTATGGAAAAATCAACAGTGGTACAGCTTGTAGTAGAACTTGCTAGTGGCTGCAAACACATGAGACTAATTAAAGGTTCACTTTTCAGAAGGACATCATAACACACATACAGCCATAGCTACAACACAATGGTAGAGATTGTAGCATATTCATGTGTCACAATGGCCCACTCCAAGTATAGGTTGAAATCAAATTGAGAATATGTGACAACGGTTGAAAATTAATGTTGGTAGACTGTCCATACATCTTCACTATTGAAATTTTGCAAAGAAAAACTGTTGCAAAAGAAGTGTATCAGCAACGGCAACATAAAGTGATTCTACAAAGTGTTGACTTAGGAGGGTGGGTGGAAGTACAAGCCACACTTTTCAGATTCAAAATGTAAAACCTCAAGTCATATATCTTTCACTTAAAATGTTTGCAATACTTTCTGTTGTTCTAGTGCATAAAAGATAAAAATTTTACAAGATTGTAATGTGACAAAATGCACAAGCATTCAAGATGTATGACTATTGTTTCAGTTAAACATTAGTCTTCATACAACCAATAGTTTTTGAATATGCCCAGTAATAAAAGTGCTCAAAGAACATTTGCAGATTGCTAAAATATATTACGTGGAAAACTGTACAACTTCATCCAGAATTGGGCTTGAATGCTGAACCACCTATGATCAGTTGAAGCAAAAATAAAACTGCAGAGAAGCAAAGATGTTGCTATATTTGGACATGTTTTGCATAAACCAGGCAATGATTGAAAGAATCAGGTTATCCTGAGATGAAGGTAAAATTCGTCATACTGTGTTATTCTTTTATATACATCTGAATAAATGTGAAGTAAAATGTTATTAGGGATTTTGTTATCCCCCCTCCAAAAAATCCTACAAGTTATTTATTTATGTTGCTGAAATTCACTGCATACACAAAAGGATATTTTTAAAGCATTAGCATAGCCAGATATCTCAACTTCTTCTCACAAGAAAAGAAAAGCTATTTTTAGGAGATCATAAAATGGTAAGGTTATTTTCTATTTAACCTTACCAAAAAACAAAAGGACTATTTTTCTATTAGAGAGTATTTAAAGTGGAGTTTTATTCAAGGTGATAAGCAGATGTCTTTCCTCACATAGATAAATCTCATCATGTCATTCATTTTGCACACCTCCAGATTAGCTGGCTAGTTTTAGGAAAGCCAATAAATACTAAAGCAGACTTATCCCTTCGTAAGAAACTCTAATATAAAAATGTCACTGTGTTTCATACTAGTATGTTACTAACTTTTAAACCATTGCCACTTTGAATTGGAGGTTACTGTTTTTTCCTCACTTTTTTTATTTTACAGAGAATCTAAAGATTATTTATTTGGAGAGAGAAAGCAGGTGCCAATGCATCAACATTTATCTTTCTGTTTAAAACATACAGAGAACAGAACATGTAAAGCATTTCTGGTCCGAGTAGCTCACTTATAAAAGTAAGACAGTGTAAAAATCAACAACACAGTGTTTACCAAAACCATTATGATTATTTTAGTATCTTTACAATGCTTTGCTTTTTTATTTATTTATTTGTTTTTTATATATATATAAAACTGCTATTTTGCCTGGAAATCCTTAACTTGTTTCATTCTCACTATGTATTTGACATAGGAAGGAAATCACTGCAGCACCACTTTCTGCCTTCATTTCCTTTGGAAATAATACTCAAAATCTCTGCAAATAACCATCCAATCCAAATGTGCGGACAGTTTAAAGGCTAAAATAAAATTAATTCCATTCACACTAAATGGTAATTTTGAAATAGAAGATATTTTAGGAAGCAGAAGCCTTACTTGGTCTTGGTGCCCTTAAGGCTAGCTATTAGCTTCAGGCTCAGCTTACTAATTAAACATTCTAAGAGAATTATTTACTGCCACTAAAATGTTAACTGATTATAACCTTCTAACAAAGCCTCTTTTTAAAAAAGTCTGCACTATTCTGTTACATTTTAAATCTGTGACAGTTTAAATTACATAATGCAGACTAATGCAAGATTACCCTAAATACTAACGGTTAGAAATAGGAAATAGTTGAAACACTATGTTATTTTTATAATATTTTCCTTCTCCTTCGGTTCTATTTTAAACTCAGATTTATTTTTTGTCCTCAGTGTGGGTGACTCAAGTTGTACTCTCAGAATCACTCATTTATTTCACTCACACACAATTATATCTAGCACAAATAGTGAACTTTAAAAACAAATATTAAGATTTTTCAGCAAAATGTAAAGATTCTGCTTCACCTGTGTTTAACTTATGTGAAAACCTTTTTTTCAGCAACTTATCTTTATGTTAGATTGGAACACCCGCATGTGAGCAGAAATCCGCCTATGTATGGTTGTTAGTTTGCCCTCTGCCCTCAGTGCATCAGCGTGCACACGTTCTTTCAGGTATTCGCTCAGGGCTGTGGACACTCGTTACCATACTGTGAGGGGGAATCAAAGGCAGTCGAGGCTCTGGATCTGCCTGCTCCCACGTGCTTCCGTTCTCGCAGTCACAGTTACCTGCGGGCAATCCAGGCGGGCTGTTCCCAGGATGAAGACACGGCTTCTGTGGACTCAGAGACACCACCGCCCACCGCTGTAGGCTACAGCTACAGCTCCAACACAAGTGAGTACCACTTGGAGGAGGACCTTTAAGTGCAATATTCCTGTGTTTAAAAAAGCAGGCTTCTTGTGTGTGATACCATTTGCCAATTTACATACATGCACAATGCAAATTCTTTAAAAAAGAATGAAGAACTTAATTTGTATTAAGCTGAAAGATAGAATCAGGGTTCAACTTCTTTATATAATAAAGCTTACAGTAAAAGAATGTGAAAAGCTGCACTGTATCCGAAGTCAATATTATTTTTCTGCATTCTCAGTTATGCTCTCAGTTATGACATCTATTTATTTATTTATATACTAATCAGATGGTGAAGTACCACCATCTGAGTGGTACCTCACAGCTTTGATATAAGATCACGACTGAATCATCATGGCCCTTTACCAAGGCTAACTAATACAACACCTTCTGAAAGTCTACTAGCCTTATGAAAATTTGCTTGTTGACGTCAATTGAGAATTATACCAACTAGGAGCAGCAGTGTTTGAAGATGACAACTTCACCCTATGAATCACATCAAGCTGTATGGCAAGAATGAGCATTACATGGACAAACTGGCTCACCAAGCTGCAACATTCACCTTGGACACTGAAACATCAATTCTAGTTGGTCAAATGTTATCTAAGGCAAGTAAGATGATTATAATAGGAGGGGCTGAATGACTAGAATTAAACATACCAGCTGTTCAAGATCCCACAGATGAATAGACACAGAGGTGGACCTGCAAGAAATTCAGCATGTAAGGCAGATCCTAAAAAACTACCTGAAAGGACACACACACACACACACGCACACACACTCACACACCCACACGCACACACACACACCCTGTCAGTCATCAGACCCTGTTAAAATAACATCCTGACCAAAACGAGATCAAATCCACCTCTACCAAGACAAGGAAGCTGTTCATCATGCATAGAGGGTTTCATTCATCAACGTCCAGGTATCACACCTACATACTAAGTGGAAGAAGGAAACTAACCAGTGAGAACAGAAATATGATCCTGATGTGGAACCCTATATGAAAGATGACCAGGATGAAACATCATGCATATTATTGTCATGATATTAAGATAGTGTAACAGAAATATTTATTTAAATATTTCTGATTTTATTTATACTCAAATAATAAATGTTGAAAAATATTTTTACGTTTTTCAGTTTGTGGATTCCTGAGTTTTTTTCACAATTCATCTTTTGGAACGACTCCCATGTTTATATGTTTATATATTTTTGAAACAATACAACAGAAATGGCTCAAATCAAGAGTTGCTTTGTTGTCCGTAGCCTAGATCCGAGGTTGTTTTTCTTGCGTCTAGACTGGACTCAGTTCCCGCGGCGTCGCTCTCGAAATGCAACGCACCTACCCTTAACAAGCTCACACACAACGTAACGCTGACGCGTAAGCCAATCACCTTCATCTTCGATAACCTCGAGCTTCGCCTCTATCCAATCGTTGTCGGACATCAGCCACCAACAGCGTGGACTCCAATCGTCGGCGTTAAGGGCGTGCACCACAAATCTTTTCTTTACGCCGTCGTTGTGTATCCAACAGCGGGGCACCGTCTACCGTCTGTCTGCTGCTGATGAATGAACAGAAAATAAGGATTTCAGAGCTACCAACAGAACAGTAAGGTTTTATGTAATTTATCCCTACTAACCGTTTCTGTTTTGACTGTTACTTGTTGTCGACTGTCTAGCAACAGCAAGCTAACCCTGAGCTAACGTTTATGGTGTTGGTAGCTAGCTACTGTGGATGAAGAAAGCGGTTAGGATTAGAAGAACTAGGCTCGTTTGTGTGCGGCAGGCGAGGCTGAGAGGTAGTAATGTGCCTGCTAATGCCAAGAGTAATGGCAGTGAGACTAAAAGCCTTCTCTTTGTGGTTCCCATGCCCGTATCATATCACATAATGCCTCGGGCCATTACACCGTTAAATGCCCGGTGAGGGTAGCACGCTGCGGCGAGCATCTCTCGGCTAACAGTGGAAGCTAACCGGTGGAGTTATCGTGTGAACTGTCCGGGTATGAACACGGCAGTCATCCAGGAAAATCAATAATCAATTCGTTTATTATAGCAGACACACTGCACTGTTTGAGGAAATGAATTATCTTTATTCAAAGCTGTTCAATTACGACCGAACTATCATCGAAAGTAACGGGGAAAAAATCCGGAATAACAGGAAACAGCTTTAGTTTTTTTTTTTTTTTTTTACTGGATATTCGTTTCATTCCAGCTTTTTCCACTTTGAGTTAAAAATAGATTTTAGGTTAAGTAAATCGCCTTTTCCGATACGTTTGGTGTAATTATATGACAGTGATGTTTCCAATGAAACGATGGAAGCCACTGTTACATTTTGCTGTATTCATCAGTTTATCTCTGTTCAAAGTCCAAACGGCATTGCACTTCATTTTATTTCCATTAAGCAAGTAACGTTTTGTTTTAGACTCCTTGGGGGTTTATAATCAAAAGTAGACATAAGTATTTACTAATTTCACATTGTTTCTCATTTTGAGTGAGTAGATGTAGTGACGAATTTGAGAATAAACATTTAAAGAGTTCAATTCAACTGCTGACACCAGTTGAGTGACTTTGTGTTTGTGATAAAGATTCACTGATTATGCTTTCCAAGGCCTGTACCAATTATTTTCTTTTGAAGTCTGTACTATGGTACATTTTCTGATGTTGATTATCTCCCCTCCCCTAAATACTATAACATTTAAGAGAATTAAAAACTATACATATATATCTATGTTCTCTGACACAGGTAGTAGGTTTGGGTTTTTAGATTTGACTCATTTTATTGATAGAAGGGAAACTTTCTCACAAACTTTCAAGCTGAAATTGTCAGATTCTGGTCTCTGGCTGATCGATTTGTTCATCTATTGTTTAGAGATGTGTGCCATTTTTATTTAGCAGCTCCATTCAAGTCAGTTTATAGGAACAATCGTTAATTCATCTGATTACTGTATTGCAATTTAGCTTTTCAGACTTTTCAGAGGGCTTTTAAGGACAATCGCCTTAAACAAGCTGGTTTGTGCATCAAAACTCCACATCCACACTGAAACAAAATTATTTTACATTTGCAGATGGGCTAAAAGTACTTGAGATGTAACAAGGCTGCTGTATGTCATGAAATCAGGTTTGAAGCTTCGTCGTGGTTACAGGGCGTGCTCATGTTAATCCAGAGCCTGCCTGTATATTACCATGGATAGACTGTGAGTCATCCTCCACAGTTTTACACCCTCTTCCTCCCAGACTCATTGATGAGGTAATCTCAAAACTGAATGGGCAAACCAACTGTAGTTTCAGCTGCAGATGTCTTAGTGATGAGCATCATGCCATTAGCCAGGCACAGAAGGAGTCATCCTTTTCCAGCACTAATGGCATGTACAAGAATTCCAGGCAGCCTGTTCTTTTCACATCCAAATATAGCATTTAGCTGAGATGCAAACATTTATTGAATTAAGAAACAAATGTCATAGTTGCAATAACAGAAGGCATGAGATCATGTATGATACATTCTTAATAAATTAATATAAGACAAAACATAGACATGGACTGTTTTGTCATGTTCTTCAGTTGTGATTCATTCACTGTTCTGCTGAACCACTGCGGTTTTATATTTGTGAAACTTCAATAACACTTTCACAAATATGCACAACGTCCTATAAGTCTTTTTCATTATGAAAATGACACAGTCTCATGTTAACGAAAAATTCAAATCAAATCTGTATAAAGTTGTCTTAATTGTTGTCATTAAGAAAAGCACCAGACTGCTAATTAAAAAATATTGAGTTCAAAGTTAATTTTGTACATATTAATTTTTGGATTTGACATATAAACAAGAAAACAGAATAAATTCAGTAATGTGTGGAATGCTATTGATTTGCTGTCTTCAATAGAAAACACAAGTACCTTGTCTAAATTGTCACAGAAAGTTGATTTATGATGCAGGCTATTTGAAGCAAAATAAACATTAAAAGAAGAAGTGAAATGTGTTTAAATACTATAGATGTGTTATAAAGTCTTTGTCTGCCTTTCTCATAGGTGTATTAACTTTACCATTATAATCATGTGTCACTGAGCTGAGGCTTTTCTCAAGTTAAAAAATGAAAGTTATGCATGACTGTAACGCTTTATTCAAGACAGCTGGGAAAAGCATTGATGTGTAACTTTGTGCCATCAAAGGCCTTTTTGCCTGTATTCAATTATTTGATCCTGACCAGTAATTTGAATGCAGTGAAGCATATTTCAGTGTACCTTTTGTTCCATGTCTTCACCATGACTATGTTTTCATCAGACTTTTTATCTGTTCTGGTTGTTTAAGATCATTTTAGAGCCAAAAGCCTTTGAAAATATTTTATTTCTAAAGCAAACTTCTGCAGTTAACAAGTCAGACAATGCTAAAATATATTTATGCTGCCTCTTTTGTCCTTAATGTACTTCCAGTCTGAAAGTGTTCCTGCTTTAATCTTTTTGCCTGATTCCCACGGCCTGTCAGCCTGCAGAGTAAAACAAACAAACGGCCTACTACCTCTTTTCATACACTAAGTTCATTCAAATTTTTACTGAGTCACTTCAACAAGAACCTGCGTTACTAAATTTGCTTCTCATAACCAGTTTTTTTTTTTGACCTCAAATTCAACATTTATTAATTGGAAAAAATATCTAAACTCAGATGTGAGCCTGATTAATTGAATTTCATTTTAAAATATCAACTTAAAATGATTCGATTTTTTTTTCAGTAAAGGTACATTAATGGAAATGTCAATATCATTTGCATACTGAAGTGTTAGGTAAATGTGAGTGAGAAGTCTCTGACCTAAACAAATATACCCTGTTTATGGAGTTGGAGTATTAGCAGAATTGAAATGTGACAGTTTGTTTATTTGATAAAACTGATGTTGATCGTGTGGAAATTTGTTTGAATGAAAAAGTATTTGGGCCCCTGAAAATATAAATTGTAACAAAAACTAATGGTTATGGATTCATTTTGATACAATACTGCAAGTCATGTTTACATCCGTCATATCCTAGATGTAGCTGTTGATAGCTGCCTATAAGTACATCATATTGATTTAAGTAGAGGGAATTGTATTACACACCCAATAAGTTCAGCGCTGGAGCTTGATGAATAATGGTGAGATGTCTTGCAGACTAAAAGGCTGATGGAGGTCCACAGTTTCAGAAGCTGTTATGCATTTCCCTGATGAACTGTGTGCATGTAGACACCAAATGTAACAGTCATTCAAAGTTACTTGGCCACATTCTTCAACAAGAGGAATGTTATCAATCTGTGCTCTAAGTTCTGTATGAAGCGTCTCATTCATTTGGAATAAATGTTATCTTGTGTCCTTGAGAAGTGGAGTTTTGTGAGACTAGACTATGACTGCAGACCAGAGAAGCTTGCAGTACTTGAATTGCATGACCTGGATTCCAGAGTTGTGTTTGTGTATGTTAGTGGGATATAATGAGGGCTTTACTGGTTCTTTGCGTCACTGGCTGCTGATGGAAGTGCAGTTCTCTCAGAATTAAAGGGTGTTGGTTTGCTATTTAGATGGAAGCTACTACTGGAGAAAATTACCACAGAATTTTCAGTCTTTAACAAAAGTAATTTCAATTGCCTGGTCAGCTATTTTAAACCAAGTATTTTAACCATTGTGTGTATTTTGAAGACCTGTATTCTTCCAGATGGTTGTGGTATGGTTTGATTCTAGTAATGTTTTGATAACATGTGGTGACATTTGTCCCCCGTCCTCCTAAATGTTACAAGACAAGGGGAAATTCTGCATCATCTTACACCATCCCTGCTGTTTTATCGTTTTCCCCCAATCACAATGAATATTTGTTCTTGGGATAATTCAACAGAGGTCCAGCCAACTGGTGCTAGTCTTATAATTAGGTCACCTGAGTGGAGTGGATGTATCTCTAATGATTGTAATAGAAAGACACCTGTAACTTTAAGGGCCGTTCACTGGCTAATCAGTATTCCAGGCTACCATTACAGCATGAAGACAAATATACCCTTCAAGGAAATCAGAAAAAAGGTTATTGAAAAGTATAAGTCAGCGGGGTAGATACATAAAGCCTCTAAAGCACTGAACATCCCCTGGAGATCAAATACAGCCATCATCAAATGGAAGAAATATATGGTTCATGTGCAAGTCTGCCTTGAGGTCATCCTATCAAACTGAGTGAACCTTCAAATAGGAGACTAGTGAGCGAGAGGTCTGTTACTGAACAGGTGTGTTTTGGTTTGATATTCTCATAGAATAAATAGCCTTTAGTATTCGAGTGTATTAATTGGTCAGGCTGTTTGCTAACACAAACACAGTCTGGCTGTATAAGAGCTAGCCTGTGCTCTGCTGTCTGAGAGACATGCTGTTCATATTGTGGACTGTAGTTTTGAGGCAATATTCTGCTAACTGTTGTGAAAAGCATGTACTCTAAACCGATAGACCAAAAAGCACACGAGCAGAAAATCAGCCAACACAAAGCAATCAGACTTTACTTTTTAATTTTTTTTAGCACTAAAAAGAGACGCTTACCATCACAGACTAGAAGTGAAAACAGGGGGCCCCGAGTCTATACAGCATATCATTAAAAACGGGAAGATTCGTTGCTGATGATCTAAGAACACGCCCAGTGGTCATCCGATGTTCTGCGTCACCTAAATCTCTATTTCCTTGGAGATGGGAGTGAGGAGATGATTCAGTTTCTGTATCTGTTACAAATACAAAGCCTTTTGTGTGAAAGTATGAGTGTAATGTGTGTAAAAGCATATGTGTGTACTTGCCCTTGGTAAGCGCCTCAACATAACCCACTAGTGGGATTGGTATTACAGGCCAAGAACACATGTTGTCATCCAGGATATTTTACACGTCTGCTGCCTAGAAATGAATCTGTTTGCATGTCAAGAGATCACCATCCACAACAACTCTTTGAAGATTCTTGGATTATGACATCGAGTTTATGTTTGCCATAGAAGAAGTATTATTGGTTTGAATTTAATTCATTTACAATATTTTCTCGGTCTAAAAGTGTTTCTACATTATCTAATAGCGTAATTGCATTGGAAGCATTTCAAAGGAATAGAGAAATTTACATGTTTTACTGAAAATTCAGTTTTGTTTTAAAGCATAGATAAGTAACATCTAGTTGCCTGTCAGTTTTTTAATCCAATTTCTCTGCTTTCCAGCCTCTCTTTCACTTTATTGATACTTTTTAGCAAACTTTTCATGTTAAAGGTGACACAAAATTCAGTATGACGTCTAACTTTTTTTTTTTTTTTTTTTTTATAAATGCACCTAGATCTTAGATTTGTGTCTGTGGTCATGAAAGAAGGCTGTTAACAGGAAAGTCAGAAGAAACTCCCTATAGCTTAAAGTATATAAAGGTGTGGCATGTAAGAGAAGATCCCAAGAGACACACTGACGTCAGAGACACACTGGCACAAACTCATCTTAGAGAAGCACAGAGATAGCAGTCAGTACTACTTCATAAATGCAGTAATAAGGGCAAAGCACATGTGCAGAACCAATCAATAAATTTTTATATTAATGAAATGCCCCCTTATTTCAATGTCTCTTAATGAAGCACATTATATGTATTGATCACACTCAGATTTATACAGGATTTTATTTCTATTAATGAAAAAATGACATTAAGATTTTAATATTACATCAGACTAATAAAAAAAATGTAATACAGAAATGTGTAATGCCTTCTTGGTTATTTTCTAAAGGTACTGTCAATCTGACTGACAATCCTCATTGCAACACATTTTAATTTATTAAATTTAACTGTATACGTTTAATTTTGCTAATGGTTATAACTCTGAGAAAGATGAGGACTTTTTTAAAATGTATGCCTGTTTTTTTTTTTTTGTCTATTGTGAACAAACAGTCAGCAATAGAAAGGCTCCCCCTCCAGTCCCACCTCGCTCCGCCTCAAAGCCCCTCATCTCGGTGACATTGCAGAGCAGCACTGAGTCGGCTCAAGACACATACCTTGACCAACAAGACCGGGGCAGCGAGGTCAACAGCCAATCGGGACGCAGCAACTCATCAGACAGTCTCTGTAGCATACGTACAGGCAGCCTGTTGAAGAGAACCCAGGCTCCAAAACCTCTTGTGTCAATCGTAAGCCCTGCACTCGCTGCAGCCTCTGGGCCCCCGGTTCCTGCCCCCCGTGACCTTTCCTCCACCACCATCTCAACATCTACTCAGTCCCAAAATGACACCGTGAGCCCTTGTGCCAGCCTTGAGCAGCCTCCAACGGCACCCAAGAGGAAGCTCTCCTCTATTGGAATCCAGGTAGGCCTGCTTTGGTTTTCCACACACAAACTTAGAAGCCTTTTGAGCTACAATCCTCTAAGGTTTTAATGTTGATGTTATCTTAGGTGGATTGTCTTCTTCCAGTCCCAAGAGAGGAGCCCTTATCTCTGACTGCGCCTTTAAAGTTTCAGTCGATTGGTGTTCAAGTTGAGAACGGCAGGCCGTAAGTAGCGTTGCATATGTTTGATAATTACAAATATATACACGAGTATTGTTAACATTCTTTCTAACCTTCTTGTTGTGATTGGTCAATAATTTCCATTCAGAAATGACGTCACAATGTGTGCGACAGCAGTTTCTGAACTCTGTACTACTCCCAAACACTTTTTCTGAGGCTCCACCATTTTACTTGATCAGCCTTGCTCTCTTCCCTCCATCAGACCCTTATGTTTACACATGGAAACAGATATCTCAGCCCTCAATCTACAGTCAATTTAGTCATTTATTATTTATATGTCAGACTCTTTCCAGGGTGTTTTAGTTCCATATAAACATTTGGTTTTGCATACGTTTGTCTAGAGATGAACTATTGGAAAATCTTTAGCATAATTAGTTTTTTATCCTCATGAAGAGCTGGTTTCTCTAACATTCTGAATGCAGCAGTGTGCCGGCTGATAATTTAAACCTTGTGACTGTGTCAAATGACCACTAACCCTTAATCTTTTTAAGATAATGAGGACATCACTAAAACTGGACTTCAATTCCTCTTGCTGATTGTAAAATGTCTTACCTGTTCAAGCTATGAGGAGCATTTTAGGTTCCAGTTTGGCCTCAGTCTGCACTGTTTATGGATGATGATTCAGGATGCCGAATGTGACTTTTGCTTATTATTTCAAACTTGATGAAAACATAAGCATCTTGTGAGGTCACAATAACTGTCCCAGTGAAAACACATTTCTACTGAACAGTAAGCACTTTAAAGTTCAGAGATCCTACTTTGATAATTTATTATATTTTTATTTTTATAATTAAATCAGGTTATCAGAACAGCCTAATACAACTTTGAAACTGTAAATGACAAACATCACCAGATACAACAGGTATCTGCTGTAGAAGCTTGAGTAAGCAGCTGAAATGCCTCAATAGGAAATGGTTTTCTTTTAAATAGCTCCTTACAGTGACTTCATTTTTAGTATCTGTCAAGTAGATTTTATCTGGTTCCTGGCACAAACCAGTTTCTTACATAGAGTAAATCGCATCCTAGAAACGGCACTGATCAACATTCACGCCTGCTCATTGTTGGCGTATTGTCACAGAATTCTTATGCTGAGCAGTATGTTAACTTTTTTGTTTTTATTTCTCCATGAACACCTATGTATGTGTGTGTAAGTAGTGTATTTCCAGCCTCTATTCTGCCATAGCTAAGGTTTACTGATAGTTCATCTTGGTGATTCTGGCAGTTAGCTTTGCAGCAAAACAAAGCTCTGATTGATTTCTCTTTTCTCTTAATTTGACTTTACTGAGCGGAACCTAGAGTGGAGCTGGCCATTCTAATATGATCTGTTCAGAGTAATTTTACTGTAATCTCATTTGATTGCTTGCTGCTTTTTCTCCTGCCTGTTGTATCAGATGACAGCAGTTTCATAAACATTAATGCTCTGTAGTACATTTCTTTCCAGTTTTCCTGCTGTCATGTCTTTTTGGGCTCTTAGTGCCTCATTATTTTGGATCCTAATGCAGTCTGTCCTCAAACTTGCAGTATGGGCCCAAAGTCCAATCATTATCTTTAGGTTGGTCAGAAGCTGATGTTTTTGTTCATATCTCTGCAGTCTCAGTCGGGATAACAGCATGGCCTCCAGACAAAATACAGAGGTTGAGTCTCAGCCGCAGGATGCCACACCCACAGAAAATGCAACCAATTGCACCAACAGCCAGACTCTAAATAGCACCACAACGAACGGACAAGACAAAGCCATGGAACAGCATCACCTTAAACACACGTCGGCTCCTTCAAGGACATCCAGCTCTCCTCCTGAGACTCTGGACCCAGCGTTAGACCCCTCCTCCCTTCCACCTCCAGATCCCAGCCTTGAGTCTGGGAACTGCAGCTCCCAAGGAGACAGTGTGCACTCCAGTACGCCAGCGTGCCTCCGAGACGGAAACTGGTTCCTGAAGCTTCTGCAGGCAGAAACGGGCCGCATGGAGGGCTGGTGTCAACAGATGGAGCAGGAGACCAAAGACAACAATCTCTCAGAGGAGGGTAAATGAACGTCAAAACATTTAGGCCTGATCGACTTTTGAATGTCTGCCATCCTCATGAATTACAACATGCATTAGAGCTGCATAATGTAATGTAAATATATAGTCATAACATTATCTCTGCGTGCAAAATTTATATTGCAAAGGATGATTTAGCCAAAATCTCCCAAGTACTTCGAACTTGCATTTTTCATGCTAATGTTTAGTAAGGTGGACAGAGTCCAAGTTTTAATCCATTTCCTTTTGGTTTTCATGGCAACATTTGATTCTGTTTGACCTCTTCTGTACATACTTTATTCATATTTCTATGCTAAGTTTTATTTGTAACTGGGTTTTCAAACAAGGGCAAATTTCACAGACTTCTATAGGTTATGTCTGAAATGTGTTTGTGTTTGTCGAGTTAAAGCAGTGCATCTTACTGCCATTAACTCAACTACTGCAGACCATTAAAGTGGGTGTAATTTCTACTTTAGTTGGTTTAACTCCACTGCAGTCATGTGATGTTTTCATCTTCCAGAATACAAAGCAGGCTCTCAGACCAGTCAATATCTGCTTTCTGAAATATAAATGAGGGAAGACAATGAGCAGTAAAAGGTTTTCAAATAGTCATTCTTTCTGTTCTGAGATGTTCAATAATTAGTTCCCATTTACATGCAAATACAGGGAATAAAATCATTGAATTAGTATCAAAAATATAGTGAATGAAGGGCTTGTAAAAAAAAAAAAAGCTGTTTAGTGTGACAAGACGAAAAAACATTGATCACATAATGTTACATCTTGTGCGAAGTTTAAAGGCATATTGTGTGTCTTTGCCTATTTCAGTGTTGGGGACAATCCGTAGTGCAGTAGGGAGTGCTCAGCTTCTCATTTCACAGAAGTTTGAGCAGTTCAGAGGCCTCTGCAATGAGAATCTGGTGAGTAGTTTTATTGTACCCTCAGAATTTCTACAATAATTGCATTTGCAGTCAGTTGTTCATTTGGCTTATGTGGAAAAAAATACATTTCTGCTAATTCCAATTTTTATGACAGAATGTCAGTTCTTTCGTACTGAAGGAGGTAAAAGTGACATAAGAGGAAGTAGCTTTTTTGACATGCTAAACTTTATGCTTACAGACATCTCGACTCCCTGATCAAGCAAAAGGGCTGATTCAGTCATTATACCGTGTATAAATGTGTACTCCTGTTTTTAATGAAGAAAACTGTCTCTCCTCTGCACAACAGTATCAGATGCAGTGTCTCATGAATGCTCATAGCTTTCAGTCTTAAGAGACACGTGGACCCATGTTTTCTTTTTCCCTTTTTGTTTTATTTTTGTAATTGCATGCATACATAATTACAGACTATTTACATCAATTTTTTTACTTGTAGATTTTGTGACTCTAAAATTTGGTAATTGCCCTATAAATTTAAACCGATCCATCAACTTTCATTTTGTGTGTGACATGATTCCTGCTGTACTGATGAATTGTATGTTCATCAGAACAAAGTTTTTTGTTCTAACTTTGCTGCTGTTAGACTTTAATCCTGAAAGTTTTCTATTCCCATTTTGCATATGGTCAGGATGTGTTTTCTCTTGATCTATTAGTTTAGCATTAAAAAAGAAAAGTCAAATATTTCCTTTAATGTTTGATCTAATAAAATATTTTAAATGAATCCTCCCTGCCTTCCCCCCCCCAAAATATAGAACTTGAATGCCAACCCAAGACCAACGGCACAGGACCTTGCAGGCTTCTGGGATCTGCTGCAGCTCTCAATAGAAGACATCAGCATGAAATTCGATGAGCTCTACCAACTAAAAGCAAACAACTGGCAACTTCCAGAGAAGCTGGAGAAGAAGGTGATTTCTGTCAGAGTAATGCACAACAATTACACCTACACAGTCATTATATAAATAACAATGAGAACAATGCTTAGTACTTTTGTTATTGTTAATCATCAAATTACTACCTTAAGTAAGTTCCAGATATTTACTGATTGAGTTGTTTTCAACTTTGAGATTATTACTACTTTTTAATTATCAGTATGACTTAATGTGTCTTCATTTAGTTTCCCTCACATTCCTCTACCTGTGACATAATTTCCTCAGGATGAAAACAAGCAGCCTCCATCATCTGTGCCAAAGAAGCAGTCCAAGCCGCGGCTGTCAACAGGGAAGGACAGGAGCGTGGACTCTGCTGTAGACAAGCAGCGGCAGGAAGCCAGAAAGCGTTTGATGGCAGCGAAAAAGGCGGCGTCAGTACGACAGAACTCCGCCACGGAAAGTGCTGACAGCATCGAAATCTACGTCCCCGAGGCCCAGACCCGCCTCTGAGAACAAGCCACCACCAATGATGAAACAAAATCCTGACTCACTTTCAGATACTTGTTGACACAGACACACAGTTGTGAGATGAACACACACACGCGTACGACGGATGCACAGAAGCCGATCTGCTTTAGCAGCGCAGCTGATGGATAAAAGATTTGAGGATCGCAGGGCACTGTAATATTCCTGGTCGTGATCCGGCCGCCTTTGGATAGTAAAACCTTCGCAGATGTTTAATACTATTGTTCTCATTGTTATTGTTATTATAATTATCTCCTAAAATATTTCAAGACTGTCTTTAATTGTGCGAGTATCTTGGATTAGGACATCATGTACCTTGTGAACTGAAAAATCTTGGTATCCCAGAAGTTTACGTTCTTGGAAAAAAAAATTAAAGTCCCCTCACTGCTGAGTCTACCGGCAAATTGTGGCTGTGCGGTTTACGAGCTGAGCTACCATCCACACACACACTCAGGACACACATGCAGGTGTACTCACTGTCCACAGAGTCTTCCTGTTCTCTTTGTTTTTGGCGTGTGGTGCAAGCTCTTTAATGTGTGAAGAATACAAGATGGCATTTGAACCGAAGAGAACAAGAGGAAGGCAGTAGCATATATTATAAATAACACACTATTACAATGTTAATTTTGTAAATGCTGTATACCAGAATAATTGTTAGAAAGAGATCAGTGTTAAGCACCAAGTTAGTTTTTTATAAATCGAGTACATTTACTGTCATGATATATTAGCACTTGATGCAATCATTCACTTCATCTTTTTCCTCTATTCCTCCCTTTCACAAACATTCATCTGAAGCTGTCTCTCAATATCCAATCTTACGTTGATTTTTGACCAAGGGATTTATGGAAAGACTGCTTAATCATCTATAGTGGAATGTATGAACTTATGACTTGGTCACTGCACTTTCAGTTCACCACAGATCAACTTTGGCCACCTTTTTATTTTCCTAATCATTCTAACTTTTCACTGCATCCCGATGGGATGTGGGGGACCAAGACATTCACCTCTCACTGTGGTGTTCCCATTCAACCAAGCCGCAGCAAGAGGTGGGGAGGGTGGAGGGAGGGCTACTCGCTCCTGGTAAGGAATCAAAATAAGGAAAGCAATAATCTAATTCAGACCACTGCAAGCTGCAGGTGTCCATTCTTAAATAGTATATCTTAATGTGAAGGACACAAAAAGGTGAACTGTGCTGTTGGAAGGAAAATCTCAGGTTGAACACTTGATAGTAAAACCACTATACATTGAATATTTTCTATATAAGCTTAAAACAATTGGCCAAATGCTCTGAATCTTTCAAAAACACTTCTTACGCATCCAGACGTAATAATCGTTCCTCTAAGAGATGCTCCACCCTCTCCTAAGTGTGGTGCAGTTTTGTACAGTCTTAATACGACGAATGACATGTCTGTCTTCTCATTTGTTGCATCATAATTAAAAACAAATTTTTTTTGAGAATCAAACTGAGGTACAACCGTTTTACTTAAGTTTTAATGTAATTTGACATATTTTTTGACTTTCATTCTTAATATAAATTACATAAACATGTAATTTTAACAAATGTTTGAAATGCAAGAAAATGTCTACTCTGCCAAGTTAGCAACTCTGTTTCATTTAATCACTTATTTAAATTTTTATTTAAGTATCTTTTGAGTTCAGTTGCATTTTTTTCATGTGTTTTGCCTCTTCATATGTGACATGTCATGTCTTACAGATTTTAATTAGAATATTTTTTTCAAAACAATAAATTTGAGAACTTTATGATAGGAGCTGGACTTTGCAAATGATTCTTCAGCCATACAGGTATAGAGGGCCAAAAGTGCTGCAATTCACCAGAGATTTTTTTTTCTAAATCTTTAACCTTATGCAGTATGTGATTGCTTAAAAATTAAGTTACAACATAAAACAAGTTCAAAATAGATTAAATATTTTACCACGTCAAAATAAATATGAATTAATCACTAGGCATTCCATCATCTTATTTTACTTGCACATCCTAATACCTGGTTGCTTTAATCTGTGCAGCAGATAACTACAGAACAATACCTTGTCTATCGTGTGCGATCAAATTGCGAACAGGACAATAAAATAAGCATGGATGCTTTTTGAAATTAATTCAGTTTGTTAAAACAGTGTTTTTAATATTTATGCATTTCATAAATTGGAGTATTTATGTAACTAGAGATACTTTAGTTATGCATTACCAATTTCAATTACATTATCACATTTTTCAGGTTATATTTTAATAGAATTCTGGCACTTTTGTCCCTCCATTTTTAGGTTGGTAAAGATTGTTTCTCTAAGAGCTGGTTCTCCCCCTACTGGTCAGTTACTGTGTGACACTCAGAACATGTATTGCTTCTTCTTTGAGTCAGTCATAAATGATCAAGCAAAGGATGTTGAACTGGGAATGCTGATACAGCGCTGCATAATCAGTTCTATTTGTATAACATCAACAATGGACATGTGCACCTCATTGTCCAAAGAAATCATTAAACATCCCTTTGCTACATGTCCTGGTCATCATTCCTGCTGTCTTTCTTTATTGCACTCATTCATGATCCAATGGTAATATTAGCTACCAAGTTAATATTACACCTATAATAAATTCTAAACATTACTGCAGATCTTTTATTGTTACTGTGTAATCTCTGAAAGCATGGCCTTTCTTTAATATAAAATATACAAAGATTCTTACCAGTGAACTTTCAGTGTTCCTTTAACTGGGTCTTGCAAATGATCTGTGTGAGGCATTCAGGGTACGTACTGTGCGTTGGCGTTTATAACTGTGACGAATGGTGGAAAGCCCTTTCTCTCTCTTTTTTTGTATCATTTTTGAGCCGGATCCCTTTATCTGCCCATACACTGAGAGCAAGACCTCCGATCAGGGATCTTTAGACAGTTTACCAGTACTTCCCGAGTTTCAAAGGGCTACAAAATGGACAAACGTTGACCGGAAGGTGCAACTCTGGAGGTGCATTTTGCTAATGTGCTTTTCAGCTACCATGTGAGTGAGGCAATATTTTTCCGGCTATATGAGGAGTCTGTTTATTGTGGTTGCGTGATGGACTGAAACACATGATCATTAAATAAACATTCTTACTGCAGAACCTATCCTTAGTGGCCTCATCTCCCTGGCCACATATCTGTCCTCTCAGAGAGCCAGCTCGTCAAATAAGCAAAAACTGTAGTTCCAGAATCTGTTGTACTGAATAATTTTACACGAGAAGCACATATCTTACACATGAAGAGTTGTTTAAAGTTAACTGTGTATTAGTTAGACACTGTGAGCCTAGTTTCTTTCAAAGATAAGAATTGTGATTGCAATGCTTTATGTGGCATATTTTCTGTATTACATTAGATGTAGAATTAAAGAGGAATGCCACTGAGTTTTTGGAATGCATATTTTTATTTATTGTGTATAAAATTAATGAATTGTCTCAATTCTATTAACTCTTCTTATACATGGCACAGAGAAAAACATATACAGAAAACCAGTCTTTGTGTTTCCAAATTGTTTTGTGTTCAGTTGTTACATTTGCTTTATAACCAAAAATAAAACAAGGATCAGTAACTGATTTCCATTGCTTCATACTAGTGCTAGTCAGAAAAAAGAGCGCTTGCCATAAGGACGACAAAAACAGCAGTTCATAAACTCAATATGGACAATTGTATTATGAAAATTCTGACAATATATTCTATTTTTCTGATTGTCTAGAACAGAAACTGCAGGAGGTATTACCTAATGTAATATCTTGTGTACTCTTTGTTTTTTGTTGCTGCAGATTGTAAAGCAACAACAAAAACAAGCATTCAGCCTGTGTTAGAAGTAATGACACTGTACTGGTCCCAGTAATTTTCTCACATATGGATGCAAGGTGTGTGTTTTTTGTGTACTTTCATATATCTACACAATGCCACATACTCATCATGAATGCTCATCTATAAACATTTCAAAGTTACTTCATCCTTGACCCATTTAACAAAACCTCAAGAAAAAAAAGAATTCGGTGCACATCACATGTCCATCTCTTGATTATAGCTCCCCCTATTGGCTTGTTGTCAAAGACAAACTTTGAAATAGAAAATAATTATTAAAATATCTTATATGTTTTATTGATTTAAACGTTGAATCAGTCAGTGCAGAGTAGAAATTATTTACTTTACAAAATACAATTCTTTCAAAAGTTCAATGAATTTTCAGTGTTCCTTTATGAAATCCTAGCAAACATTATTTTAACACACATTTGATGGTTTGTTTAGTATTATTTAATTGTTGCATTTTACTTTTAACAAAGTAACAAAGTAAAATAAAAATACTTTAGAATAAAACATGCTATTAGAAAGCAGAAGGTCATACAAAACCAAAGAACAAATTAAATTACCAAACTAGAAATTAAAAAAAAAATCTGTTATTTAAATACAATCAAATATAACAGAAAAAAGTCTTAAACTGCCTTTCTTTATATTATTCTACCTTATTATGTTATTATGTAGTTATTTTTTTGCATTTCTTCATTGTTTATTCGCATTGGGACAAGGGTTAAGTAATACTGAATACTTTGGCATTTATAGCTTTAACCAATTTGCAATTCACAACCCAAAATGGACCACATAGGATGTTAAAGTATCACACCTACAACACATAACAAGTACAAGTAAGAAGTCTCTAATGAAATATATTTCCTAAAAGACTAATCAAGCAACTGCTATGATCATCTAACTTTAATACATAAAGATGATGACATAAAAATCTAAGGTTATGTGCAAATTCTGGCTATTCAAAATGAAGACATAAATACAATTCTGACAAAAAATAACATGCTTACCAAATAACACTTAGAAACACAATAAAAGATGATTAAACCATTGCATTGCTGACTTATGGTCAGCAATGCAAATAGGATGAATCTTAGAAGAAGATAAAGTACTTTCAGTGCACCGCAGCCTTAGCAGGAAGAAATTAGCTTTAGAATGACGTCATTACTTTATTTTGAAACAATTCACCGGAACTGCTATTTCAACTTCGGAGTTGAACTTCCTGTAGAAGAACGACGATAGAAAGGGCGGAGCTGAAGCCGAGAGGAAGAAAGGGACGTTAACGTGACGTCCGCGTCTCAGGTCAAGTTGTAGCATCATTGCCGAAAGTAGACTGGATATTAGTTGCTCTTGGGCTGGTCTTTGGTATGTTATCCTTATGTTTCTTCTTCAATCAAGCTTTTATGCTGCAGAGTTTCTCCTCAGGATGCCTTTTTTAGTTGTAAACGTACAAGTTTTCAGATCTTTTCAGTGCGGGTTCAAGTACAGTAGCAACTCCCGGTAGTCCTGGACTGTGTGTAACAGGTTGACAAAGATTAACCATGACTTTTGCCTTTCGTCTTACAATCAGAGTGGCGATTTATGTTCATATTAAAACCATTACAATTCCGAACCCTGGTACTTACAATGCTCTTGTACAGCTTTGACATGCAAATACTGATATGGGGAAGTTTTAGCTAACATGTTCAACCGTTGAGTGTCACTTTATTCAAATGAACAAAGAAGGAACACTGCGTTATGTTTCAAAAATGAAATGACCAATTCAATATTTTATATTGACTAGTAATGACAATGCTACTTTACTATTGTATATTATACTGAAATGTGTTTATTGTTCCTTTTTAGATTCTGATCATATATGAAGTTTACATAGGTATTGATTGTATCAATTGTATTATTTTTTGTTACATTTGTTAACCACATTTTTAATTTAACATGATATATAAATAAAATTAGCATTAGAAATTGTTAACTTAACCACATTGCTATTTTATCTTTGAGAATATACCTAATATACTTTACTAAACATGTCAAATATTTTCCCAATTATTTTTTTATTTGCATAAAGTCTTGTTTTTACTTTCCCTTGAATTTGATTAAATGCAATCTGACTGTTGTGCTTTTTCCTCTTGCAGTGTGTGACATGTTATAGTATGGTTCCCAGAGAACAGCGATCGCTGTCATTACGCCAGCTGTAACTGGACATCATTAGGTCCAGTAATGGCTGCCATACACAAGAAACCCTGTACTTCTTCAGAAAGCTGCACTGAGTCCAAAAGGATGGACCTGAAGAGCAATGAGAAGAAGGGCTGTGAGTGATTTGTTTTTCTATTTTCTAAAGGTGGAACGCAAAACTGAAACTCCTAACTCATTCTTTTTAAAATATTAAACTCTGTGTGCCCCCCTAACTACTGTATTATTTAACATGTTCTCTTAAGATTGGGCTGTAAATTTCAAAATGTTCACTTGATAAAGAGTCTCCGCTTTGTGAGCCTTGAGCAACACAAGATACAGTTTCAGCCAGCACACAATGCTAAATGTCAACTGTGACGCACCTTCTCTCATTACTGGTATGTGTGAGTGTGTTTGTAAAGATATGCACTGATACATTCACTCAAAAGGTCTGTAAATATTAGAATAACCCCTGTTTATAAAAATGTTTGTCATCAGATCTTTTGTTGTAGAATGACATTCAAACTTCTCTTTTTTTTTTTTCAAATCAAGAATGCATGTGAGCTCTAATCTTCAACATGAAGGTTTCCAAGCACCTGCGTTTCTGTTCTGAGAATCTTCAGTCAAGTCTGTTCTCGCCAGCTCCCTGTTTGGATAGATTTATCTTTCACTGTGCAGTCTAAAGCAGAAAAAGAAAGAAAATAAATAACATTATCCACTCCCAATTCAAGCCTGCAAGGGTTGGAACACTGAACCCGGCAGCTTTCCAGAATACAGGGAACAATTAATCATAAACTGCAACCTGAAACAGGTGGCATTGTAAACATTACCCAGTTCACACATGTGTAGAGGTGACATTGGATCGTTACGCAACACTCCTACGTCTTGCTGCTAGTGTACTCAGTGTGTTTCCGTAGTTGCTTATAAAATATGTCTGTTTGACCTCTAAACCTTTGAATCCTTGGCCTTGAAGGAACTCCAAAAGGCCATAAAATATTTTTTACACATTCAAAAGCCTAAATGCTGTTATTTTATTGTGTCTCTGAACTGCAGCTTGGGCCTACTACATGACCAATTCTCCACTTCTGATTGTGATGATTGGGTTGCCTGCAAGGGGGAAAACATACATGTCCAAGAAGTTGACACGCTATCTCAACTGGATCGGCGTTCCAACAAAGGGTCAGTACTCAGAAAACATGCAGGATTTTCATTCAGGGAAGAACATTTTGATCACATTACAAGACAAGATGCAAATAAAAACAGTGGAAACCACATGAAAAAAGTTGTTGAGGTACTATTATGTACTGCTTATTTGTTAATGTTTCAGAACTTATAAAACATATTAGTCATAAAAATGTTGGGCTTCAGGCTAACGAGTTTCAGAGAGTGGCGCTCCCTGTAGCACTGATCTGTTTGAAGTTGTAGTTTCTATTTTCACCTTTAAGAATGAACCTGCGTGGCTCAGGCTGTTTAAATGAAGGTCACTGCCTAGACAGCAGTCTAAAGCACAGACTTTAATCC